TCTTGTGTCTGCTCTCAGCAAAGCCAACCCATTTCTGTCTATTCACACTCGCCTTGTCTTTTGCCCTGGATGCCCTCAACATCTGTTCTACTTACTCCCCACCTTCCTTTGTCAATGGCATAAAAACTATTATCTCCCAGCCTCCTTCCATTCGAAAAAAGAGTCAATGGACTCGAAACATTTAACGTGTTTCTCTCTCCATAGATGTTGCTAGACCTCCTGAGTTTCTCCAGCATTTTCTCTTTTTATTCCCATTTATTAGCACCCATAGTGATTTACTTTTATTGGGAAATTGCTTTGCTGAACATTTCAATGCAGTCGGAAAGTGTGACTGTGCTTCGAGTCCCCTGATATTTTAATTCCCCTCCCCCTACCTCTCCCAGCCTGACCTTTTTGTCCTCAGCCTCCTACACTGTTCCAGTGAAGCCCAGCAGAAGCTCAAGGATTAGCACTTCACCTTTCTATGAGACATTTTACTACTTTGATTTCAATACTTTTAAGTCACAACCCTAACCCTAAGTCTAAACCTAACCAATCCATCTTTTTCAAACAGCAGGTTCTGCTATTATAATTTACACTTCCTTTAATCCTATCTTTTATTTTCCTTTACTTATCCCAATACAACCTCCTTTAAATTTGCACCATGTCTCTTTTGTCATTAAAAGGAGCATAGAATGTTGGGGTTGGAGGGGAATTACCTTTTAGAGGTTCATAAAATCATGAGGGGCATAGAAAAGCTGAACAGCAAGAATCTTTTCCCTCGGGTGGGGGAGCTCAAAACTAGGGGCCATATTTTTAAGGTGAGAGGAGAAAGTTTTAAAAAGGACACAGTGGGCAACTTTACACTGAGAGTCGTTCATGTGTGGAATGAACTGCCAGAGGAGGTGGTGGATGCAGTACAGTTACAACATTTAAAAGACATTTGGATAAGTACATGAATAGGAAAGGTTTGGAGGGATATGGGCCAAACGCAAGCAGGTGGGACTAGTTTAGTTTTGGAATATGTTGGTGTGGACTATTTGACCCGAAGGGTCTGTTTCCATGCTGTATGACAGTGTCTAAAACCCCCATAAAATTGAAAATAAACGGTTGATTTTCAAAGGATATTAGGAAACCTTAGTAGAAGAGGTGATGCAACAGTTAAAATATTGTATTGAATATGCTGACACTCACAATATCAATTAAAAATTAAAAAGACCAGTTGTTTTCATGCAAGTGGAATATGTTAAGCACTTAACCTCTGGCTAGGAAGATTAGAAAGAGTTTTGTCAATTATACATGTGTATATATTGTACTGTACTGATGCAGGTAATGCTAACATCCATCCTCATCCTTGAAGTGAAATCAGTCAGCTATACTCTTTATGTTAATAGACGGCATTCACGGACACCAACGTGATTCAAATGTTCCTGCACTTATGCACCTGTGTTAGTTCACACATAGTTCTTATATAAATGATATTTCTGTGTGTGGATATATTATTTCAATGCAGACTAGCTTGAATTACATTAGATGCAGCAAGTTATTCATTTAAGGTCCAATCCTGTTACTAAGGTTGAAACAAAAGCTTGGCTTGCTGATGATTTCTCTCCTTTTCCAAAATCAATCTTAGTGCCCTGCCCACAGCGACCAAGTGTACGTAACGGAGCTCTGAGAAATAAGTACCTTATGTGAAAGTATAAAACTGATCTGAGCATAAGTATATTGCTCCTTTGTCCATCTAACTTCAATTTGTTTTCTGATTCTGGAAACTTTGAAGGAATTTCAACTAGCCCAGCAATACATGATCAAAACTAACTGATTCTGACTGCTAGCTAATGGAAGCTGTCCACATATAGGTGCAGCTGACTGCTAACAACCTTTGGACAGAGGACCTTGAGATACCAGGGAGTGCCAGTGCCAGTGATAGAACATGGATCAATGCCTTAAGGTGAGTTTTGGTGATTGTATGTGTCCAAGGACAAGTGGCAGAGAAGAAAGAAAAGCAGAGCTAACGACCATTTCATCACACAAACTCACTATGCAGGGGGAAGGATTGAAAGCTAAAATAAAAACAGAAAATGCTGGAGAAATTCAAGAATAGCTTCTGCCCCACTGTTATCAGACTTTTGAACGGACCTCTCATCTATTAGAGTTGATCTTTCCCTGCACCTTCTCTGCAGCTGTAACACTATATTCTGCATTCTGTTCTATTACTCTGATATACTTATGTAAGGTATGATTTGTCTGGATGGCATGCAGAACAATATTTTTCACTGTATCTCAGAATGAGACAATAATAAATCAAATCAAATCAGAAATTCAGCAAAATCTGCGAAGAGAAACAGAATCACTTTTTTGTGTTCGAATCTTATAGAACACTTTTCCATTTCATCTCTCCATAGATGCTGCCAGACCTGCTGAGTTTCTCCAGAATTTTCTGTTTTGATTTCAGATCTCCAGCACCCACAGTAGTTTGTTTTTACTGAAAACTGTTATTTCCACAACTCAGGTGTGTGGAACCCAGGCTTTCTATCTCTCTCTCTCTCTCTCATACCCCAGTGTTTTGCAAGGAATATTTGCGGATAATTCTTGATTTATCAAGGCTGAGGTCTCAAAATCGTAAAGAATTCCTAGCTCAGGCAAGCAGACCTCAGATAAACGTGAAAAGTGGAATGTCGTGTACGTTATCATTAATAGTGCTGTTCTTAATGTTCTGACATTTTTAGCAAGCACCATCATGACTAATAGCATATCGAAAGCTCAGCAATTAATTTGCCAATATAAATATATCAGTTTGAAAGTGCTTTAAATGAGCTGTTTCATTGGCATCTGAGAGAATTGAACACACAAGGAGATTGGAATGAGTAATGGCCAATCAGCTTGTGAACTCCCTCAGTAAACCCATTGGGTGCAGCGCTTGTATCCCTTCAGCCTGGACCTACAAATTGGATTTTTTTTTTGAAGCTGTATGAATCACAAGTTTCATTAATGCATTCAAAGATCTCTCATACCTCTCCTTTGCTATAACCAGCCAGCAATGAACGTAAAGAGAAGCAACAGAACAGTTAACTAAGATCAGGGTCACATCCAGATTCAATACTTCAAAAGCGTGAGCCACAGGTAGTGATGCTGAAATACAGTGGAAACTTTCAGCAAACCGAATCCAATGTTCATCATAATATATTTAATGGAGATGTTAATCATAAAAGGAGATTGGACTCTAGGTAAACTTAATGAATGTTCGTAAACTTAATGAATGTTCGCAAACTGCTTAAACAGGATAATGACACTGGGCCAAATCTTCCCAGCCATTGAACAAAGTGGGCATTGATGAATCAGTTCAGAAAACAGGATGAGATCGACAGAAATGATATTCTTGATGTTGACAGGAAAAAGTCTGATTTTCCAACCAACCTTTGAATCTCACTAGTGTGGCGAGACGCCTATTTGCATGTATTTGCATACATAAGCATGTTACTACTACCTTATCCTGCCTCATTGATGCAGTGATATGCAGATTCCCATTCTTTCACCCGCCAATTTGATTTCATTTGGTTTGATTTATTACTGTCACGTGTAAAGTGAAAAGTGTTGTCTTATGTGCTTTACAGCAGACCGTGCCATGCAAGTGCAACAGGGTAACTAGAAACTAGACAGTGACAATTCCCAAAATGAAGATTGGGGGGAGTGGGTACTGCAGCTCTCTGCATGCTTTTCTGGGCTTCCATCTTGGACGACAGCTCCCACAGTCTCAGGGCTCCCTCCAATGGCAGTGACCACCATTCCCCCAGTGGACACTGACATTAGACATGTACCAATCTTACCACACCATCATAGCACATCTCCAAACCACCTACAATACCATTCTGCAGTTCAATGGCTGGACCACACTAGCACCTCTCCTTGGAATGCTGCTGTAAGGACCCTCCCATTGCAGGGACATGGATTGGGCCAGACTGCATCGCAGCCTGTTCACCTGCTATCTTGGTTCTCACTCACTTTGTACTTATGTAAATACATTCAGCATTTCTGCTGTGAGATGTCCTGGGGTTGTGAAAAGTGTTCTATAAATGCACGAGTTTATTTCTTTGACACAGTGTAGCAAAAGCTGGAATGAGTGATTTCTTTTTCCAATAAGGTTTCTTTGCTCCAATTTTCTTCCCTTCTCTCCTGAAGACTATGATACCAAGGCTTGTCACACTCTGTGCAAGCCCTGATTCAGCACCTAAGCAGATCACCTAAATTGTTATTCCAGTGCACTGCTGAGGGAATGCTGGAAGATTGAAGGTGTCATCTTTCGGATGAGATGCTAAACTGAGGCTTGCCTTGATCCCTTAGAGTGGCTTAAACATCCCTGACATTCAAAGAACAGCAGGAATTTCTGCTGGAATCCTGACCAAACATTTATCCTTCAAACAACATCAGCTAAAAGCAGGTTAATTGATCATTATATCTTTGCTCTTTGTTAGACCTTGCTTTCGCAAATATTTGCTGACAAAATGATTGTTACTGTGGTCTCCAACATGCATTGCAGAGTCTCTGGCAGTTGATCTCACCAGCTGCCTGCATTCACTTACCACATGCACGTTGATCATTGTACTGCTGCATGACTTCCAGAAGATGCACGGCTAGAGAAAAGTACGTGTTCTCAGCAGCTTTGTCTAGCTTGTAACAACGTGTTTCAGTTTGGTCCATATGGACTAGCATTGCAGGATAAACTAAGTTTGTGGTGGCAGTGCAAATGAATATATTAAGAACTGATGGAGCTAATGGGTGAAATTAGTACATTACAGTATTGGAAACATCGAAGGCTATTTTTTATTCCTTTATTCATTCATGGGATGAGGGTGTCGCTGGCTAGGCACATTCATTGCCCATCCCTAATTGCCCAGAGGGCAGTTCAGAGTCAACCACATTGCTGTTGGTCTGTAGTCACATGTAGGCCAGATCAGGTAAGGATGGCAGTTTCCTTCCCTAAAGGACATTAGTGAACCAGATGGGTTTTTCCTGACAACGAACAATGGATTCATGGTCATCACTAGATTCGTAATTCCAGATATATTATTGAATTCAAATTCCACCACCTGCCTCCCATGTTGTTTCCATGCAGACTCTCTGCTCCTCTATCCATTCTCTGTAGACCTGCAGTTTCTTTCTTCAGCAGCTTATCAAACTGGTCTGTGCAGGATGAAGAAAAACTAGAAGAAACACTGCCACACCCCACATCCAAAATTTGAGAGCAACACAAGCGGATTAGGGCCTCAAAAACAGATTACAACCACAAAAACGAGATTCCCTACAGAGTGGAAACAGGCCATTTGACTCACCGAGTCCACACTGACCCTCTGAAGAGCTACCATCCAGACCCACCCCATCCCTGTAACGCTGCATTTCCTATGGCCAATCCCCCTAACCTGCACATCTTTGGACTGTGGGAGGAAACCAGAGGAAACCCACGCAGACACGGGGAGAATGTGCAAACTCCACCAGACAGTCCTCTGAGAGTGGAAGTGAGCCTGGATCCCTGGTGCCGAGAGGCAGCAGGGCTAACCACAACTTCCATGCAGAATGGGAAATGGATTTCTGTTCACAGTTGAAAGAAAAAAATCTGACTTATATGTTACCATGTTTGTATATACCAAAATATATCAATAATTAAAAAGGGAAATTTAGACCAACATTACACAATAAATTGTGGGTCTGGGTGGGATGCGCTGAGGGTCAGTGTGGACTTGTTGGGTTGAAGGCCCTGTTTCCACACTGTAGGGATTCTATGATTCAAACTCAAGGACAGTTTCCCCTTGAACAGCATGCTTGAGGTAAAGAAATTTGACGAGCCGAAAGCTGTTTTAAAAGCTCAATAGCTTTTTTTTTACTAAACCAGCAGCAAAGGGTAAAGGCTGCAATGAAGTGTTATTTCGTATTTAATATCTGTTAAAGTAACGCACAAAATCATTCTCAAATAGCAATGAATTAAAGTAGCAATGACAGTGGCCACTGAATCTTTATCCAAAGATTTTAAAAACAAAGATAAAATAATAACGGCAATACAGACCACAGCATTAAGTGCTTGATAGCAGCAAGATAAGTGAGATTGTTGTTCAAAGGTGTCTATCAGCTACTACAGCAGGATTGTGAATGCTTCTCACTGCAGTTTATGGATCCATTGACATTACCAACACAGCCCACCTGACAACTAAAGAAGATGTTCTCATCCTTTTGTTCCATAAAGAGAGAACAAGGATGTGCATATCTACAATGAACTGAAAAGATACATGCTTAAGACAAATATTTTCCAATCAAGAAATTGGTTTCCATCAAAACTGGTGGTGCACCAGCAATGCTTGGGTCAAACACAGGCTTTGTGGTATTCTAGAGAAATGATCCTGATTTCTTCTCTTTTGTCAATTACCATGTTGTCACAACTTACTGGGGTTGCCCGTTGGAAATCAAGGCCTTATTTCCCAGAGTTGTCACAAAAGTTAAAAATTTTTTTTTAGATTTCAGCTTTTAAGATTCTAAGAAGTACACAAATATTCCCGAATTTACCTGTCTCATAGACCAAGGTTGACAGAAAGCATGAACCACGTTTCAGTACCTAACAAAAAAAAACCATTACAAAGTAATTAGATTTTAGCTACAAGTAAACAATTATGAACTATCGGCATATAACTCTACTGATTAAAACTTCATGTCCCTTATAATCTCCCCTTTATACAGACAGAGGAAAAACAATTGGTTATGGATGAAGAGATCATTGGAAAAAAGAAATCAGTCGTTCCCGTTCACAAGTGTTCTGAGACGTTCCCTATGATTCTTATGCTGGATAGAATACTGCTTCTCAGTTAACCTTTTCTGGATGCTTCCACTGGTTTGCAAAAGGCACAGGGTGGTTGGTTCACTTATTAAAGGTCTCTAGCTTGTTAATCACAGAAGGATTGATAATCTAGTTTTATTCAGACTTAAAGTGGCTTTTACTTCAGAGAGAGAAAGCTTTTAAGCTGGCAATGACTCAAAAGCTTCTCCTTATCCTGTTCACAGACCGAAACTGTTCACATGATTGTCAGCAGGTAGAAGACCCTTGCCATTATTAACATGGTCATTTGACCACAAGCCAGTCTGCTACACGTTGCCAACCAAAGCTCCATTTGTACACAACATTTTGGCTCCAGCTCATCTGCAAACTAAACTTCGATTACTGCTTGAACAAGTGGCAGAGTAAGTGCTGCTCACTGTAAGTATCAGGTGACTCGCTGTCAAAACATGCAACACCCATACAGCAATCTTTTATTCTTAAAACAGTTATTTTCTCCTTTAGTCCACGATTAGAAATATAGGAAACATTAAACAAAGTTGTTAACACTACATAATCCTACACATAACACTACAGTTAGCATTAGCAAGTATAATTATGGACACTTCTCACATAATAAAAATTAATAAGGTTGTAAATTCAATTCGAGCAAAAACCCTTCAGCCCCACTTGTTTAAATCCTTACTCAATGGACTCACTGCAGCCTACAGTGGACTAATCCTCTGTGCTAATGTGACTTGGTTAATTCGAGGTTAGGTCCTACAAAGATTTTTAGATCTGATATCTGAAATTGTCACTTCTTCAAAAGAAAAAATGAAGTGTGCAGCGAGCTGCCAGACAATGAATGGTTGCTTTGTTCAGGCATAACATCAAAACTGAATGAGCTGAACTGTGAATTACAGGGATTGGACAAAGATCTAGCACATATCATCAGCTCTGTTAATGTATTCAGATTGAAACGGGGTCTGAGGTCCACCAAATTTAAAAACAAAATGATATAACACTACCTGTGTCTGGAAAAAATACAAAAAAAGAAAGACAAAAATAAATTGTTTCAGACTTTCTGTGCACACCTGCAAAAGTTAGCAGAAGAATTCAACAAACAATTTCAGGAATGTGAAGGAATGATTTGTCGTTTTTGTCTCAAATCCATTCCTTCAAATAGACATTGATGTGTTGCCGGCAAAATTCCACCAGGTGTGTCATTTACAAAGCAGTGGAATTGATATGGAGATAATTATTGTGCAAAATCATATTGAGCTGAAACTCAGATCGAGGGACAGCGATATTTGGGGACTCATAAACAGAGAAAAATATCCACTTCTATCATCCTGTGCTTTTAAAATGGAAGTTTACTTTGACTCCACATAGTTCTGTGAGACAGTGGTCACCCAAATGAAGATAATCAAGTCAAAATGTCACACTGGCCTTGAAGATATCCATTTGCTGGACTGTATATAACCAGCAGTCTCAAACCACAAAACAGGCTTCAAGGTGTTCGCAAATAATATGCAGTCACAGGTATCACACTGAGACTTAGTGAATAAAGGAAAGAATGTATAATTACATAGATATGGTTTTACTTTTATATAACATCAAAAATAAACTGTATTCTGTATTTTCTTAGGGATAGATTCTGGGTTGCTCCTAAATTCAAAAAGTGATTTTGTGCTTAAAAAGGTTGGAGAACACATAACGCATTTCAGCAGGAACTTATCCTGAGGATGTGAAAGGTTCTTTATGACTACATGTTTCTTCTTTCTTAACAATCCATTCTCGTCCCAACACATTCTAGTAACTAGCTCCAAGTAGCAAGGCAATGACAATTAACAGGTTGACTAAATGTTTTAGTCAGATTCAGTCCTAACTTGACACATGCACTTCCAAGCAAGATTTGCTGGATAACAATCAGGAATGGGAGACCAAACTGATTCTTCCCCTCCACATACAGACACTGAGGCCAAATCATAGAACCCCAACTGTATGGAAACAGGCCACTCAACCCATCAAGTCCACATCAATCCTACAAACAGCATCCCACTCAGACCCAGAACCTTACCCTATCCCTGTGACCCTGCAAATTACCATGGCCAATCCACCTAACCTGTACATCGTTGGACTGTAGGAAGAAACCGGAGCACCCAGGGGAAACTCACACAGAAAGAATGTGCAAACTCCACAGTCACCGGAGGGTGGAATTGAGCCTGGGACCCTAGTGCTATGAGGCAGCAGTGCTAACCGCTGTGCCACCCCTGTATCAACAAAATGTATCAATAAAAAACTACTGCCATTGCTGAGATGATTTAGCTCAGCAGAGGTTTGACTAGGACCTGAAGGTTAATTCAGGAGCATGACTGAGAAGTAATTGGCCATTTTTTTCCATCAGTTTGCCACATTTAACCTTCACATAAGAATAACTGAGGCTGCTTACAAGGCTGGAACAGGTCAAGTGCAGTCTCTGCTTTTTGTTTTAGTCAAGTTTAGCTGCAATCATAAATGTAAGGTTATTATGCTGAATAGAATATTAAACCACCATCTAATCCTGCTTTGGGCTACTCTTAGCAACTGGCTCACTGCCGTATAAAACACTTTCATTGTAATACAGGAGAAAGTCAGGCTGCACTGTTTAAACATTCCTTCCATGTGACTCCTGTAAATACAAGCAGTAGGATTGTTTGGCTGAGCCATTTTCCCCTTGACCATCAGGTCAACTCAGGCAACAGGTCTGTGTAATACCATGGTGAAAAAAAAGCATTTTACAACACAACGTGATCCAAGGCCTCAGATTTAAGAAAAATAAAAGTTCTATGAAATGTAAGGTATTTACTGAGAATGCAAGCATAATTAAAAGCATTTTTAAATTTAATAATGGGATGTAGGCGCCATTGGTTTGACCAGTGTTTATTGCCCATATCCATTGCACTTGGACTGAGTGGCATGCAAGTGTATTTCGGAGCTCAGTTAAGAGTCAATCACATTGCTGTGGCTCTGGAGTCACATGTAGGCCAGACCAGGTAAGGATGGCAGATTTCCTTTCTTAAAGGACATTAGTGAACTGGACGGATATTTAGAGCAATCTTCATTGGTTACACAATTGTCGTCATGCCAGATTTTAATTCCAGATTTTTATTGAATTTGAATTCTGCCAATATGGGTTACAAACCCACGTCCCCAGGACATTAATCAGGGTCTCTGGATTACTAGTCCAGTGACATTACCACTGTGAAACCATGACGCCAAATCTCTTCAACAGAACCAAATACAGTCAGCAACCCAACTATAGTACCTCAAAACTGACACCCTCTGGACCATGGTTGTGCTGGACTTCGGATATTTCCAGATTTCAGGTCAACATTTCAGACTTTGCTCAGTTTGGGTCAAGGGTTACTCGGAGCATGGAGATGTATTATGTGCAAAGCAGCATAGCCACTAACTAGTCATATGTAGGGTATGCAGAGTAGTTTGATCTTAGAGTAGGATAGTAGGTTGGCACAACATCGTGGGCCGAAGGGCCTGTGCTATGCTGTACTGATCTATGTTCTAGTCAGGAGCAACACTGCACGAACGAAATAGCTAATAAAATGACCAAGGTAAGTTTTGCCTCAATTAAAATTGATGTATGGAAACTCATTAAAAAAATGCTTTCACACACCAGAACTGTCAGATTAGCTGGATTTGAGATATGAGTATATGAGAGTTCTTTCTTGTAGTCTACATTTCCTGTAAGTGTTACTATTGCTTCCTGTAACAGCTTCCTTGTCACACTCTGTTCACAATCACTCTATTAATACTAAAAATCATCTCTTCCAACTGAGCAGAACCAATACCACAGACACGTGGTTAGGCAGAAGATACAAAAGTTTGAGAACACATACCAATAGATTCAAGGGCAGGTTCTTCCCCACTGTAACAGACTTTCGAATGGACCTCCCATATATTAAAGTTAATCTTTCTCTGTAACTGTAGCTGTAACACTATAATCTGCATTTTGTTCTATTACCCTGATGCACTTATGTAAGGTATGATTTGCCTAGATAGCACGTAAAGCAATACTTTTCACTGTATCTTAGTACGTGACAATAATAAATCAAATCAAATTGTTAGCATATAAAATAAGCTAACATTCTTAACCAGGGCCTGTAAAGGGTTAATTGGATTCTGATAAAGTAGAATGGCCTTTTAAGGATTGGTGGATAAGATCCTCCAGCTGAATGATGAGGGAGTGTTTGATGTTGCTCTAGTGGGAAAGAATAGAGATCTGTGTTGTTTGACAGGACTGCACACTGATAACAAGAATTCCATTCTAAAAACATTCGTTGGATGGAGGCGAATATGAATTACTGATGTCAAGCTGTTATATATTTTGGCAAAATGGACATTTTTAAATCAGTATTTAAACTAATTTAATTCTGGTACCTGATATTCAACTGACATCATACTGTACCAGCTTAGTACTTAATCAGTTTTTCAGTACATTTACATCTGGAATGAGACTTTGTTACAAACCATACCATCCAATCTTACGTCGTCAGTAACAGTCTGTGAGTGTGGTACAATACACACACTGACACACCTTCAGGATTTCAGATCTAACATTCCCTTGAGCTGAGATGATGAGTAGGAGGAGGATTGTTGAATGCGAATGAAACACTACAGCTTAGTTTGATATCCTTATCTTTCACTGCTCACATTTCCCAGTGGAGTCTCTGAATAATAATTATCAGTAATTCTGCTTGTTTTCCCTCCTCCATAGCCTCAAGGTAATTTAATTTTGCCTTTGGTGAGATCACATCTGTAGCACAGTGTTTACTTTGTATCTTACTCGCTTGAAAAGAGCATCATGTGATAGAGAAGATGGCTCAGTGCGAAGATATAGGAAAATGTTAGCATTTAAAGGAATGAATTATCGAGAGCAATTAACTGGAACTTTCTGGAAGGCTGAACTTGATTTTATGTTTGAGAGGGAGAATGAAGAGAGTAAAGCTTTAAATTTCAGCAAGGCAATCATCAGAGGTGAGAAATAAATTGACTGCAATAAAACCGATTGGAGCAGTTAATGAGTAAAGCCTCAGAGGAAAAGTGGGAACTATTCAAAGAGGATCTTGATACAGATCAAATTCTCGCAGGGCCCCTGATCATGGGAATAGGGGATGTCCAGGAATTTGTCGAAACCGTGGTGGATGGGTAAGTAGCTCCCAGGTAGGCCCAAAGCCCAAATACCAGTTCCCCACCATTGCTGTTCTGTATCCTCGCTGTTTTAGCAGCTCAGTGAGGGTGGTTTCATTTTAGTGGAAGAATGCCCTTTGGTGAAAGGTAGAAAACATCTTGGATAATCTCCTGACCAAGTGGGGCGGCTGCGTGTAAGCAAGGATACAAAAACCTGTCCATACCCTATAAGGCAAAAGCGCTACAAATGCAGTTGCACATTGTCAGCAATTGTAAATATTGTTAAATAGAGACTAGTAGTTGAAGCTCTTTTGTCTTACATACATCTGAGCTAGAACACAAGAAATAGATCTGAACACAAGCACACCACTTTATTCAGCGTGAGAAGAGGGTGCTGATTGGTTAGACCGTCATTGGTGGAGAGATACAGCAAGAACAGTTAACTGTCAATTTCAATTCCCAGAGCAGGCAGGTAGATTCTGATTGGACAGGATGTTGCCAGAGGACACAGCAGAGATTGGCTATCTCCAAGATGACTTTTTTTCAGAAAATGGTACAAAGTTTGTACAAATTCCATTTTGCCTACATAAAACAGGGTCCTGAGTAGTTTTGGATTTCAAGCAGCTGCAAATACATGACACTGCAGGCTAACTGATGATGTTAAATTGGTTCCTGGTTCACTCTGAGCGCAGCCTTGATTATTTAATGAATATTTCCAATGGCAAATTTAGATCTAATGGTGGACAATCTTTTCTGAGATTGCAAGCACAGGCTGGTTGAGCTTGAGTGGCAAGCTGCCCACTGCAGATGGTTCAATATATTGCACATTGTTCAATATGGTCTGTCAGTCAATGGGGTGATGATTGATTGATTTTATTGTCACGTGTACCGAAACACAGTGACAAGCTTTGTTTAGAAGTGGTACAGGCAGAACACAGCAAGCAAAGGATGCACAGATCAAAAAGACTTAGAGGCATACAAGTTACATTGCAGGTTACATTATTTGAGGCTAGAGTCCATTCCACAGTCTGATAACAGCCGGGAAGAAGCTGTTCCTGAGCCTGCTCATGTGTGTGTTCAAGCTTCTGTATCTCCTGCCTGATGGAAAAGGTTGTAGCAGAGCATTACCGGGGTGCAAAGGGTCTTTGATGATGTTGGCCACCTTTCCACGGCAGCGAGCCATGTAAATAGAGTCCATGGATGGAAGGTTGGCTCCTGTGATGGTGTGGGCTATGCACATACCTTCTGTAGTTTCTTACAGTCCTGGGCAGAGCAGTTGCCATACCAGGCTATTATGCACCCGGACAGTTTGTTTTCAATGGTGCATCTGTAGACATTGGTGAGGGACCTTATGGACATGCCAAATTTCTATATCTGTCATCACACCGGCACTGAACCGCAGATATCACATCACAGGGGATCTTCGATTTATGAACATCTAATTTATGAGCAATTGTACCTATGAGCAAAGGATGTAATTTTAAAGACCCAACACATGAACATGTCCTGTACTTATGTACGGCTCATGCATATTGTTCTGCCCTGCATGCTGACTCCAGTACAGAACCCATTGACAACACAGGGACCGCCTATACTGGTTGTGGGGTGGGGGCAGTACGTCTTTTTGGCTCGAGAGCAGAATCCAGTTAGCAAGAAAAAAACAACTCATGGCTTAACTACATAGTAGCGGTGGGAGACAGCTAGACATTCAAATAGTTGAGACATCTTCCACTTCCAGGGTAATCTTTGGTAGAAACAAAAACAGAAATTGCTGGAAAAACTCAGCAGGTCTGGCAGTATCTTAGAGAGAAAACAGAGTTAATGTTTGGGATCCAGTGACCCTTCTTTGGAACAACCTGTATTAGACTGTGTATCGGTCAGGGCCACAAGTGGTGAACATAGCCCTTTTGCGATTAAACTGCAACTGATGATTTGATCAGTTTACCCACTGTTATACAGGATAGTTTTGAAATGCCTCATGTCAACATCAAGCTTGTACAATGAGCAGATGGCTAGGATCCTATTCATGAGGTAGTCAATAAGATTGGTCTTGCAGCATGTGGGGCTATAGGCATCTCATATGTATATTGACCAATGAATGCTGGCTTTCGGTAAATAGTAATTGAGAACTCTTTGACAGATTTCTCAACTAATACATCAAGAAAGGAAGCCCTGTTTAATTGCTCCATTTCAATGTTAAATTTGAGCACAGGATAAAGTTATTAAGCTATGCAGACATTTTTTGGTGCAGCTGAGGATTTAAATATTGCAAGCGTGTCATCCATATCTCAAAAATTTGCATTGTCAGCAAATGAGGTTGAAAGATTGCATCAAGCTGAAAGAAGAGGATTATCGAAATACAAGAAAAAATGGGACTGCTTTAATTGTGCTACAACCAGATCCTCGGTGGGGTTCCCCAACTTGTTACCGTTCCAGATGGAATACCCCAAATCACTAAGCTCCTGGGTGAGAAAGAATGAACCAGCTCCCCTTCTTTATTCTACCCCACCTCCTCAGTTGGTGACAGCAAGGTTAATTTGAAAAGATTTCCTTCCTTACAGATGCCTTTCTCCCACATGAAATGAATTTATGTTTGAAAAGGAGCCAATGTAGACGGAGTTCATTAGTTTCTAAATATGAGAAACAATTACAAAGCAACACACATGCACAGATTATTGAGAAGTGAGTCCAAGAAAAGACAAGAGTTAAAAGCTATATAGATCAGACTTAGAGATTAAAAAAACTGCAGTTGCTGCAGTCCAAGGGAGACAGACAGGAGGCGAGAAAAACACAGCAAGCCAGGCAGGATCTGGAGCAGGAGAAGTCAACGTTTAAGGTATTACCCTTCTTCAGGACTGGATGTAGGGGCAGGGGGAGCTGCGGTTAGAGCCCTACCTACCCCACACCCAGTCCTGAAGAAAGATAATACCCTAAACGTTGACTTCTCCAAAATAGATCAGACCCTCTGGGTTGACTGTGAGTAATAGATTGTGGAACGTTGATATTGATCAATGATATTGGAATTTTTACCTTGGCAGTTGATGAAATCCTTTTGTCTTCTTTCTTTTTTGGGTGGCAACTCTCTGAATGAGCATCCTTCTGTTGTCCTGTTTTCCTTTAACTGCCTTGTTAGCCAACTGACTTGCAGTATGCAGAATGAAAGAATCTTTTTACCTGCAATACAGGGGTATTAGTGGGTGTTTCTTTGACTGCGATCTTCAAAGCATACTAACATTTGAACCCAGGCTAGTACACACAGGCACCTCAGTTCACCAGCATGCCTGCTTTCACTAACACATCTTTCACAACTAATATGGACCAAGGATATAATCAGTTTTTGGTAATAGATAACACAATGTGGAGCTGGAGGAACACAGCAGCATCAGAGCAGCAGGAAAGCTCACATTTCAGGTCAGGACCATTTTTCAGAAATGGGGGAGGGGGAAGGGAGCTCTGAAATAAATAGAGGGAGGAAGGGTGGGGCTGGAGACAGTAGGTGGGACAGTGATAGGTGAGTGCAGGTAGGCAATGATGGGGATTGGTCAGTGAGGTGTGAGGAGCGGATAGGTGAGAGAGAAGACGGACAGGGCAAGAAGGCGAGGATGAGAGGGAGGGTTGATCATGGGATGGGGCTGGGGATGGGGGGATTTTGAAACTAGTAAAGTGCACATTGAGACCATTGGGCTGGAGGTTCCCGAGGCGGAATATGAGGTGCTGCTCCTCCAGTTTACGAGTGGTGTCATTGTGACACTGGAGGAGGCCCAGGATGGACATGTCACTCAGGGAGTGGGAGGGGGCGTTGAAGTGGTTCGCGACTGGAAGATGTTGACGTTTGTCGCGAACAGAGCGCAGGTGCTCTACAAAGCGGTCTCCAAGCCTCTGCTTGGTCTCCCCGATGTAGAGGAGGCCACATCGGGAGCAGCAGATACAATAGACCACATTAGCAGATGTGCACGTGAACATCTGTCTGATGTGGAAGGTTTGTTTGGTGCCTTGGATGGAGGTGATAGGGGAGGTGTAGGGGCAGGTGTAGCACTTCCTGCTGTTGCAGGGAAAAGCGCCAGGAGTGGTGAGGCTAGTAGGGAGTGTGAAGCAGACAAGGGAGTTGCGGAGAAAGCAGTCCCTACGGAAGACAGATAGGGGTGGAGAGGGAAATATATCCTTGGTTGTGGGGTCAGATTGCAGGTGGCAGAAGTGGCGGAGAACGATACGTTGAATCCAAAGGTTACTGAGATGATACGTGAGGACAAGGGGGATTCTGTCATTGTTTTTGTTGTGGGGAGGAGGTGTGAGGAGATAGAAATGAGTGGTGCGGGCTGGGGAACAATGAGGTTGCAGGCTGTGGGCGGGAGGTCACCTGAGGTGATAAGGTTATGAATGGTCTGGGACATGATGTTTTGGTGGTCGGGGGTGGGGTCAAGATCAAGGGGGCGGTAGGAGGAGGTGTCAGAGAGCCAGTGCCTGGCCTCAGCGATGTAAAGGTCAGTGCACCATACCACAACAATTGTACAAAGCCTTGGTCAGGCCCCATCAGAATATTACATTCAGTTTTAGACTCTACGCGTCAGGAATTATACGTAGGTACAGTGGTAAGAGCAACTGAGATTAACCAAAAAGATTCTAGAGTTAAAGAATGGGGAGGGGCTTACATGATCTCAAATTGTATATCCTTGAAGAGGTGTGATTTAATTGAGGTGCTTAATATCACTCAATAGAGCACATAGAAATTATTTCCTCTGGAAAAGAGGAAATCAAAACAAGAGGCCACAATTACTCTCGCTTCTTTTTGTTCTGAATTTTCCCCATGTTTGCACAATGTGTGGGTCTGTTGCGGTAATAGCTGCAGTGCCTGGTGTAACAAAGCAGAAACTATGCACTTGGGATCACTCAGCAGTACACAAGGGGCCTTGCCACAGACAATACTGCAGCTGCTGTGCTTGCAGAGCTGTGAAAATTGCATTACCATTGTTTAGTGGAGCACTCAGGGACTGATCCGAACACTTAGCAACAATACTTCATCCGAAAGGCAGAGCTAAAGGTAACAAAGACATTGAAACTATGTGTGTGTTATCTTGATTGAAAACCCGTCAGAGCTGTGGAAAAATTCTCCATGATTTACCATTAACACCTTGCAGTATCTGATCAGGAAAATGTCTGGTATTCCATCCCACACCTTTGCTGTAATGTGTTGTTGCATACAATAAAGCTAATTATTTTTAACACAGCATGGGTAATAGTCTCTTTCAATGTATCATATTGGGATCCAACAACATCAATCATTGAACTACAATTGAAACTGTAAAGGCAACTCAATTTGTTGATAAAGTCATCATCCAGTGTAGCACTAGACTATTTACACCAGCATTTTTGTTATTCCAAGTTCAGTCTGCGTTCAGTTAAGAGGTTTTTTCATAGCAGCAGTAAGTTGTTATAATGGCCCAGATTGGGGGAGGTTGGAATAACTAGCCAAAAGTTTCTGTTGTTAGTTGTAAGCCATATACAGTGATAATTCATGTGTGGATCTTGAGTATGCAGTTTCGGGCTGCAATGACTGCACTCCCAGATCATCTGATGACTGAGTTCCTGCTTTAAGATTGGCTGACGACTGACATTAAGCCAGCCCGTGCCTGTGGAGCCTTCCTACAGGAGAAAGTGCAGAGCAATGTCTGCTTGGCTCATTTTCATGTGTTTTTCAATATACTGGCAATCTTTTCCCTCTACGCTATAGACAGCACAAGTAGATCAGCTGTTAGAAGCAGTGCAGCTTATTTTCCACTGGGGAGGTGACCTTAATTGAACTGTGTGGGATTCCAGGATTCTCTGTTTTCTTTCTATGCCCGGAACTATACATGCCCTGTACTCTCTTGCTTTCCCTGGCAGGAATGCTCACTGTTTGCTGTAGACTGGCTCCATCCTTGGATGAGTTGTTATTTGGACCCAGCCCTAGAAGCCATGGCAAAATAGATAAATTGACACCACTATTGAAATAAAAGAAGGTTCACATGTAAGTCACTTTTCTGGAAGAGGTTTTATAATGACATTGGAATACACAACACAACCCGCTCAGGCAATGTGGCTTGACTGACAACCATTAGAGTCGCTGAGCTACTTTCTGGAATGTTTATTTTTATCAGGCTTCGAGAATTGAACCACTCAGGATGTTGGTTATTGAAATTTTTATCTGCACTGCCCACTATACAAGTTTCAGTTACAATTTAAATCACTGTGTATTGACAAAATGGAAACTGGCATCTTGGAAATATCTGAGATTTTGTGGGCATTGACCAGTTTTGGGGTTAGAGAGATCACAGCTATAGGATGCCATTAATGGGGAGGCGATGGCCTAGTGGTATTATCGCTGGGCTGTCAATCCAGACACCCCGATAATGTTCTGGGTACCCAGGTTTGAATCCTGCCACAGCAGATGGTAGAATTTGAATTCAATAAGATATCTGTAATTAAGAATCTAACAATGACTGTGAATCAATTGTCGGGAAAAACCCATCTGGATCACTAATGCCTTTTATGGAAGAAAACTGCCATCCTTACCTGGTCTGGGCCTACCTGTGACTCCAGACCCACAGCAATGTGGTTGATTCTTAACTGCCCTCTGGGCAATTAGGGATGGGCAATTAATGTTGCCTAGCCAGCAACACCCTCGTCCTGTGAATGAATAAATTTTTTAAAAATCACATAATGGTTTTACATGTTTCCTGATGGCCTCGGTTAACCTCATTTCTCTCAGTTAATCAATAACACATCCCTTGCAAATAGTTTCACTTCATGATTTTAAACTCACATAACAGGGATCATTGTGCAATGTGTAGGACAGCACCATCATGTTCCCTGACACACACACGAAAGAAAATATCGTTGTTTTAGAATCACATATTCCCGTTGGGTTGAAACTGGCCTAACACCACTGACCTCAGAAAAACCTGGACACTTATCAGGAGAGGATCAGCTAGTCGGTGTGACAGTTACACCAGAGACAGCGTTAAATGTATTTGCTTTCATGATGTTAAGGCCAAAACCTGAGCAAGATTCTTCAAATTGTTACAGTTCCAAACAGGATACCCCAAATTTTTCAGCTCCCGCTTGAGGAGGAATGATCTGGCTCTCTCCTTTGTCCACACAGTCCCTTCACTTGATCGTGACAAGGTTAATTCGAAAAAGATCCCTTCCTGAAAATATATCTCTCCCAGACCCAAATGGAACCATGTTTTAAAAGGAGCCAATTTAACCATGTTTTCTTAAATTAGTAAGAAGAGTGAGTTTATGAATTACCAAATACACACGACACAATATACATACACAGAGGAGAGGTGAAAGGTCAATGTCAATGCTACCAATAACCTCCACCGCAACGACCATAATGTTCAACAACCTGCTCCTTGTGAATAATTCAGACACTGATCCATAAATATGATTTTTTTTAACTTCTTTCTTTTGGACTCACCTCTTATTTCTATTACTCATTTTAATTGTATTTAGTAATTTAAAAACTCTCTTTTTTGAAAGCCTGGTTAAAGAAGCTCCTTTTTAAACCATAAGTTCATTTGAAGCTGGGACAAAGGTATGCACAAACACAACTGTTTTTGAGCTAGCCTTGTTCCAATCAACTAATGGGGGGACAAGTACATAAGGAAAAGGAGCCAATTCCTCCCTCCTCACCAGAAAGTTAATGACTTTGGGGTATCCTGGTGGGAGCTGTAACAAACTGAGGAACTTTACCTAGGGTTCGGGAGTAACACTACACTTCACTGTCAGTTCCTTCAGGACATTTAGGGACAGGGTAATACATGCTGCCCCAGCCAGCACATCTACATCCAATAACTGAATAAATAATGCCTAACATTAGCAGGTTATGAACCCGGTTACAATGATATGTCTTACAGACCATTCAGAGGATGTGGCATTGTTGGAAAGGCCAGCAATCACTCCATCTCGAATCATCCTGGAAACTAGGAGCTGTCGAAGTATCCTGCTGGTCATTTCAGGGGGCAGTCAAGTGTCAACTGCATTTCTGTGAATCTGGAGTCAGATCTATGCCAGACTATGTCAAGGTTTCCTTTCTTAAAGAGCATTGGTGAGTGAGTTAGGTTTTTTTTAACAATACTAACTTCATAGTCTTATATTACTGAAACTAACTCTTTAATT